TTTCAAGCTGTGCCGTTATGTGGTTATATGTACTTTAGTACCCTACGGTGAAAATTTTAAACTTTTCAATTTTTAATTATAAACTTGAGGTTGAGCGATAAGGAAAGCCGCAAAACAAGCGGAACTTGAAACTGAAATCAGCTCCACGATTAACAAATTCGTATTTATTTTTGTTGTATGTATGTAAATACCGAAACACATTGATATGTACACTTATGCCAAAAATATTAGTAACACAACATTTTGAACAGTTTTGACTATTTTTTTCGTTCCTTTTTTGTTTAAGGTTCATAAATTTTTTTATAAATGCATAGCTCCATATACATAAATCTAAATTTCAAACTATGTACGAAAATTTCAAGAAAGCATCAAAATTTAATACTTTTATAATCAAAAATTTTGAACAACTTTTGAATTGCAGTTTTATATTCCATTATATTTTAATATAAAAGAGTGCAAGTTTGAAGCTGCTAAAAAATTGCGTTGATATTTGGCTTTGTTTTCTGACAGTGTCATGTAAGTATGTTCTTCCATACAAAGTATGTTCGAAACTTTTTTATATGGGGGAAAGTGAACAAAGTGTACACTTCAAAAAACTTGTAAAACCTACCAATAGCTAATACTCTGAATTCACAGTCTGGAATAGTAATGTACAATATTCCTGCTGGAGTTACAAAAATTATTGATAGTTGATATCACCATCGATAGTTTTGAAAAAACCATATATAGCAATGTGATGCTTGTTAGTCAAGGAATGTTAATCCTATATGATTTTTATACCCGAGCGCACTTGTGCACAAGGGTATTATAACTTTGTTCACATAACGGTTGTTTGTAACAGGCAAAACGAATCGAGATAGATATAGACAAATGTATACATAAATGATCAGAATGAAAAGAGAAATCGATTAAGCGGTGACTGTCTGTCCGTCCGTCCGTCCGTCCGTCTGTGCACACGATAACTCGAGTAAAAATTGAGATATCTTAACGAAACTTGGTACGTGAACTTCTTTTGGGCGTGGGACGGATGGTATTGAAAATGGGCGAAATCGGATAATAACCACGCCTACCTCCCATATAACGGTAATTTTCAGAAAAACGAAAACTGCGATATTTTAGTAACTACTGAAGATAATTCACTAAAAATTTATATTTGCAATGAGTTTTAGACGAAAAATAAGAGTATTACAAAATTTTGGCAAATGGGCGTAGCCACGCCCACTTATGGTT